AAGTAATAACACTCTACAACTAATAACACTACATCACGTTTTATATTAATGTAATTAAGTTAATCACGTTTAAATATGATGTACACCATATATGGTCTATTTTACAAACAAGGTAGGCCTTTGTGTAGACTAATAAGAGAATGATATTGTTATGTTGGCAAAATCAGGTTTAAAACCAGGGCAAACTCTACTAGAATTAGAACTTGCGTTGCCCCTTCATTAGCTACAATACGGAATTATAAAGATACTAAACTCCTAATAGTCATTTTAATATAACAACTTCATACTATCGTTCCAATGGCATTTTTCATTAATATACATGCGTTATCAAGTAAATCGATCGAAAAAACCATAAATAAAGCGCGATTTGGTCGAAAAACAATCATAACGAATATCGTTTCGTTATAACATTGAAATAACGAGTTTATATTCGTTATGGTTGTTTTTCGACCAAATCCACCTTTAACGATCGTGCATTCGTCATATACGGCATTATAAAGATACTAAACTCCTAATAGGTATATTATTAGTCATTTTTCAAGTTCAAACAATAAATTTACAAATATTTTACATCATATTTCCATTCAAAAAAAAAAAAAAAAAAACAAGTGTTACTTGAATAAAAATAATTTTGTGATACTACCCACATATTTTACAACTTTACAAATTAAACCACACTATTATTTTAAATTCAATTTGGACTTTATGTAATTTAAATTAATTATACATAATAAAATTTGAGAAATAAATATTCATTAAAAATTAAAATTTCACCACACAAATAAAATTAAAAATTACGGTGTACATTTACACACTAGACCATAAATGGTGTACACACTAGATTACACACTAGACCATAAATGCTTTTGAAAATATATGATTTAGAGCACATTTACACACTAGACCATAAATGGTGTACAGCACAATACGGTGTACAGCACCAAAATTGTCGCGGTAGTGACGTTCGTCGCGGACGCGACACTGGGGCCATAATCTCTGTCCATTGCAGATGTCCCAGTGTCGCGACGGCGACACTTGTCGCGGCCGTGACATTTAACTATTTTTATATAACGATTATGTTTTCGTTATGTGTATGACATAACTAATATATATTCGTTATTTAAAAAAAAAAAAAACATCTGCCGCGTCCGCGACGAGTGTCGCGGCCGCGACACTGGGACCATAATCTTCTGAAAATCACGATTTTATATTTCCACGTCAACATTTAAAATCATGCGTTAACTACACCATATATGGTCTAAAGTGTAAATTTTCACTAAAATCTTCCCCCCACCGAAAATCATCTGCTTTTCTTGATTCTTCAAACGAAATTTCGAGTTCACTACCTGCTTTAGAATTCGAATCCAGGCCCTAAAAGGGGATCACCAACAAAACCCTAACAGGTATGATCTTTCTTCAAAATATGTTCGAATCCCCCAATTGTTTATGAATTCGTGTGGATGTTGATATGTTTTATATCAACTGTTCGTGAATTGTAATCTTGATGTTTGAATCTTGATGTACTGTGTGGATGTTCGAATCTTGATGTACTGTGTGGATGAATTCGTGTGGATGTTGATATGTTTTATATCAACTGTTCGTGTGGATGTTTAACAAATGACAGACCCAGTGTCCAGGTCCTCGCGGGCGCGACGAACGTCGCGGGAGCGACAAAGGCTTTAACAGATCTGTTGGCAGGTCGTCGAGGATGCGACGACCGTCGCGGGCGCGACATACAATGACAGAACCTGGACAGAGAATGTTGTCCCAAAGTCGCGGCCGCGACTGGCGTCGCTCCCGCGACACGAATTTTATTTTTATTTTTTGCAAAACAACGAATATATATTCGTTTTTTCATACAAAAAAGGATTAAATAATCGTTGTATTGACATAATTATTTGTTACGGCCGCGACAAATGTCGCGAACGTGACACTGGGACCTCAAGAATGGACAGAGAATGTTGTCCCAGTGTCACGGACACGAAATACGTCGCGGACGCGACAAGAATGTGTGATGAATGCCTTGTTCTAATCTCTTCTTGTCTTCTCTTAGGATGACTGGTGGTCATGGAAAGATTGGCAAGCTATACAACATTGGCAAATATTTGCAGAGCAATGATCCTGATTTTTTTCATGAACTAATGCAAATAGGAGGACTCTTTCATGTGCTAGGATTGCCCGATGTTCATATTTTGGGGCCTTTTATAAGTGTAATTTATGAGTTTTTCACTGCCAAAACTTCCATGTTTACCATTAACGGGCACGTGATGGGTATAACACTCGAAGATGTGCTATACCTTCTACGTTTGCCCGTTAATGGTGAGCTTGTCCTCGTGGGAGAGAATTCCCATTTAAGTTACAAAAAATTTTTCGGGGAGGACCCAAAAAAGGTCAAAATATCCGACTTGAACCGTATTGTCTACAATTCTACTGAGAATAAGGAAAAGAGGATGAGAGCTCTGTTGCTCATCATTATTTGGCATTTTGTCATGCCAACTAAAAATGGTGATGGCATCTACCCTAGCCTTGCCTCACTCTTAGAAAACCCCTACAACACTTCTTCAATTCATGCTTGGGGGGCTGCTGTTCTTGCTTTCCTTCATGGTAGAAAAAAGAAAAATAAGGAGGGTGGCAACTTATGGCTAGTCTTGGTAAGTAGTAGTATTATTTTGCATTGTTACCATTATATACAACTTCTAAACTATTATTTTGTGTGTGCAGGCTTTTTTTCTCGTCCGGATTCCAAAATTATGGACGATCCTAGGGGTTGAGATTACAAGGGAGGAGCTCGAGGAGCTTGCTCGAGTGGATTATCCATTGAAATGGATAATGACTCGTTTGGAGAAAGTATCAAAGAATACAAGGGTCAATTACAAGGGGGCTCTGAGGAATGCTCTTGAAAGCCTTGAGGATGAGGTATTGAAGTTAATTTACAGTCTTTTCTATCTATAAATTGAAGTTATTATATTATAGTATATGTTTAGAATTAATTTAATTTATGTCTTTTTGACAGGATATTCATTGGAGGCCATACATGACGTGGGAATTACCCGGTGACCTCCAGTCCAATATCGATTGGGTTCGACGGGTCAGTCCCATTTTTGCCGACAACTATGTGGTGCATCATGCACCACATTTGCTTGCAAAACAATTTGGTTTGGCAAACAACGTCAAATATACACTGTATCACATCGGAATGAAGGATAATCGGGGATCAAAATCCCACAATTGGACTAAAAAATATGAAGTTCATATCGCGAAGTGGATGAACTCATTATTTTTGGGAGATCCACCAGCAGTCCACAGAGGTAAAAGCACGATTATAGTCTTTGAGCCCTCATTTATTTTTATTTTTTTTATAAAATAGTCCATATTATTATTTTAATTATTATTTTAATTGAACTCAGAGACCACCCCCATAGAAGATTCCGTCCCTCATATCCAAGATGATACAGGTTGTGAGTGGCAATTTTTTAAATAGTCTAATTATTATTATTATTATTATTATTATTATTATTATTATTATTATTATTATTATTATTATTATTTGACTTATTTTTGTCATTTTGATTCAGAGACCTCCCCCAGTAGAGAAGATATCCAGCACTCCCCCCCCTTGCAGCTCTCCCCCGGCAGCGAAGATCCTCCCTCCTCCAGCAGAGAAGATCCCTCCAGCAGAATATCAAAAGTTGCGGGTAATCAGAAGCTGCAGATTTTGAGGGCCTTTGAGCCCTTGTTTTTTTTTTTTAACTTTCCGAATCATATACCATTAATGGTTTATTTTTTAACTCAAGTATTCTTTTTGCTAAAAGATCCTCATGCTGCCCATCAAGAAGCTGGTCCTGACCCTCCAGAATCATTTGAGCCAATAACAGGTATTTCTTTTTAAAAAAACTCGACTGTAAATCTACTTGTATTATTTTATAGAAAATTCTGACCGAGAAATACAAGACTGAGATAGAAAAGTGGACAAGATTACTCTTTCTGTTGTAAGGTCCCGAGCCTCTTGAATCAACAATGGGTATATATAAACATGTTATTCTTTCATTGCTGGAAATACTACACGGTTTTCATTTCATACTTGAATTATTTTATAAAAATTTCTGACAAGTATTCTTTTTGCTAGAAGGTCTCCGTACCCCCTTGCAGCCCGATCTCCCCTCATCCTCCTTGCAGCCCCTCCCAGTAGTTCCATCTCAAGACGCTTCAGGTAGTGAATCAGCTCCTTTTCTACAATTGTTCACAAAAATACTTGAATTATTTTATAAAAAATTCTGATAACTTTCTGACTTGTAGAACATTGATGCCCTGCCCTACTTTTATTTTGATTCAGGGAAAGAACTTTCCTTCCAATATACCCCATCCCCCTTGCAGCCCTGCCCAGAAACAG